GGAGCCTCCTTCCCCTGCCCTTGTACCCACTGGACGGGCCGAGCCAGCTTTGCCTGGTCTCCTGGAACAGGAGCTGCCCCTTGCCCAAAGCTCCCTTGGTGCCCCAAACTCTGTCCATGCCCTCCTCTCAAAGGATCATGTGCTCCACTGTCCATCCTCAGAGCACCCTGGCCAACAGTCCAATTGTGATTTTAAAGTCAAAATGTTTAATTACCCTAATCACACTGACGTTTTAAAATAATGTTTATCCCAAATACTTCTGTCCTCACTTCACACATCCTCAGAAGTCTCGAATTTCCCTTTGCCGATAGCTACAATATTCAATAAAACAGTCCCTCAGTTGTAACCAGAACATGAACTGAATGCGAGGGGGTGTCATAACCAGCAGAGCTCCAAAGCCCCCTGTAGCTAAACTGAGACTGAGCTGTGCCAGAGCCCTCATCCCTGTCCCCAACTCCTGCCCTTCTCCAGCCAGCCAGGAGCAGCAGATAAATGTGTTCTTAACCTTTGCAAGGAAGTGCGAGCTTTGGGGGTGGTATTTGCACTTCTAAGCTGGAGCCAATGCCATCCTCAGAGGACAGAATAGAGGAGCAGTGTGACACTTTGGCACATAAATACTTCTGAAATCATGCAATATGAAATGAAATTATTGTTAACATTCTGTGAGCTTGCGCAAAGCTGAGTAATATTCCCAGTGATGTTGTTAAAGCTCAGACAGCATGTGTCACCCAAAGCTAACAAAGTTCTGCTCCAAATACTTCAGGAGAGAGAGGCAGATTTCAGCTGGCTGCAGAGAGCAAGTGCAGCCCCAGTCATGGTCACAGGACATGCCAATAGGCCCGTCACCAAGGGATGGAAGAGCTTCACAGGCACCCTGCTGGGAAAGGGGCCACCCTGCCTTTCTTCCAGGGTTAACAGGTTGGCTTTCAGTGCAGAACCAATTTCCTGAAGAACCCAAAAAAGGAGACTGACAGTTGACATTAAAATCTAATGAAGTTAGAAAAGCAAGGGGACAGCTAGTTTAACAAGGAGCCATTTCTGGTGGTTACTAGATAAGATTTTAAAAAATTGTTTCATCCTGACTTGACCTAAATGGAGTGGAAAATTACCATGACTACATTTATCTGAAATCATAAAGTGTGTTCTGATTAGAGCATGATAAAAAGGATGGTATAAATTGATCCAAAGATAAAGAAAGGGCAAGGGAAATGAGATTAAGAAAAGAAGCAGATGCTAAAAAGGCAGGATAATACAGCAAATCTCTGAAGCTCTATTAAAAATAGCTGTAGGAACTGGAACATAAATAGTTTGGTGCTTCACTTTCTGTGCATTGGGCTGCAGCCCAGCCCTGTACTGGGGAGCTGAGTTCTCACCTCGTTAATCCCAAACCTTCAGCAGCCTGCCAAAGGAGAAGCAGCTCTGAACCTGGCAGTCGCCTTGCCAGAGCCTGAGCCTGGGCTGGAGAGCTCTATCTGTCCATCTGTCTGTCCATCTGTCTGCTGGAGCGGTGTCCATCTGTCTGCAGCAGTGTCGATGCATCTGCAGCAGTGTCCATCTGTCTGCAGCCATGTCCATGCATCTGCAGCAGCGTCCATGCATCTGCAGCAGTGTCCATCTGTCTGCTGGAGTGGTGTCCATCTGTCTGCAGCAGCGTCCATCTGTCTGCAGCAGTGTCCATGCATCTGCAGCAGTGTCCATCTGTCTGCAGCAGTGTCCATCTGCCCGTTCAGAGCAGTGTCAATGCATCTGCAGCAGTGTCCATCTGTCCATTCAGATCAATGTCCATCTGTCCGTTCAGAGCAGTGTCCACTGTGCCAGTGCCTGGGGTCGGTCCCTCCTGGCTGTGCTCATCTCTGACCTCCTGCCTCCTCTCCTCAGTAAAACCTGCAGCTGCTTGATACTCTTCAGTCCCTAGCAGATTACATGGCAATTGGTCAAAAAACTAGAAAACTAGTGCAGTGGGTCTGACAACAAACCGAGCCAGGAAGAGCCTTTGGCTGAACTTCCCTTCCTAGAGAGACAGCACTAGCCTCTGGCAGAAACCTTCATGGTCATGGAAGCAAATTTACCTCTGATAAAAGCTGTGTTTCAATTTCCTAGGAACAAGTTATAAAATGTGGAATAAACAGATGCTGGTTTTCCCCCGCCTGGCTGCAGAGCTGTCTGTCTGTCTGGAGACTTGGTGTGTGCACCAGGGCCACGAGCTGAGGGAGGAAACCAGCAGCCACAAGGCACAGGCGAGACCCGAGCGGCGCCGGCGCCGAGGGGCTCCGTGGCTGGGGATGGGAATTTCTTAATCTCACAGACACCTGGGCCTCACCCGGCTGCAGCAGCCCCCGAGAGCCCCTGCCCTGCTCATCAGCACCCGCTGCCAGCAGCAGTGGGAGCAAAACCAGCCGTGCTCCATGGAGCAGCTGCTCCTCCACCCCGAGCTGCCCGACCCAGCCAAGGAGCAAGGCCCTGAGACTGGCACTAAATTGTCCTGAGATCATCTCTCTCCCAAAACCCATCCTTGGCAATCAGAAATGCTGCTCCTGCTGCTGCTGCTACTCGGTACCTGTGGCTTAGGAATCATGAAAGGCTGACACCACCTTCCTTTTTAGCAGTTTTTTTATCTTCTGCCTAATGACTGGAATGTCTAGCCTCTCTCTCTGCAGAAAATGAAAGCAGTTTATTTATCTAAACCCCATAAATCTGATCTCAATCCATTTTTTCTGAGTGCAGCACTGAAATCCCCAGCATTCTGTGCCTCCAGCAGAGAGCTCCCTCCTGGACCTTCCCTGGATAGCCAAGCATGGCTGATTCATTTAGAGGAGGCTCAGCAAAAAGCCTGCTTCGGCAAACTGTTTCTCTTTGCATTTGATGTAAACTCCCTTTTCTTTTAACTCCGTTTATGTTAGCACACCCATATGTAAATCCTCCACCAGGTTTCCTCCAAGGAGAAAGTCAAGGCAGAGAGTGAGAGAAGCCCCGTTCCCCCAGGCACTCAGCTGCTGTCAGCAGAGCTGCAGGTGTCCCCTCATGGCCCTGCCAGGTGGCCCCAGCATCGCAGGCAGACACTTCCCACAGGACTTCAGGAGCAGCTCGGCATTTCTTCCTGTGTGAGAAACATCCTGGTATCCGTGTCTGTCCTTGCTGTCCTTGCCAGTGCCACAAGTCCATGGCAACATTAAAGTTCTCTCACTGGTGAGCTTTCTGCAGTGTCATTAACCAGTCATAGACAATTTAATATCCCTAGATTTGTTTTAATTAATGTCCAGCTACTCAGCTGTTCCCAAGGGTGTCTGTGTTCTCCCTTCTCCAGCTGTGAATATTCATCCTTGAAAACAGGACTGACACAGCTGATGGGGAGGGATGGTGAGGGGGCTAGAGGCCAGTGCCAAAGCTGACACCACAGCCCTGTGCTGTCACCAGCTTCCTCCTGCCCTGTCCTCCTCTAGATCCCCAGCAGAAGGGTTTGGAAATGATGCTTTGAGCACTGGCTGATGTCCCTGGGGACTATCAGCCCTCTGCTTCCAGAGCCTGGCGGGATTCTCTTTATTTGTGGATTTAGGAGGATACAGGATGAGGGCTCACTTACTCCTTACACAGGTGCCAACTAAACAAGGTATTTTGTGGTGCTGTGGGAGCAAATCTGTCTTTGCTGATCAGCAGCAGAAAGAAACTTGGGAAGATAGCAATAAGGGTGATTTTGGATGCTAAGTTCAATGTGATGAAAAGAGCTCTGTGCCATGCCTGGGAGGTGATCCCAGGCAGGCAGAGGGTGCTGAGCTCCCAGCAGCTTGCCAAAGAATTCAGCCCTTGCTGGGGAAGCTCAGTCTCTTGGGAACTGGTGGATCCAAGACCAATAGAGATGGCAAAAACAACATCCAGCTATTCTGCGCTCATCTGTGCTGAAGTCTATTTTCATTCATGTGAGTCTGCCATTGCTGCCATGGTGACCAACTTAGAAATTAATTATATAAAGACATTAACAACATATTTAAATAGGAACATTCAACCCACGGTTCTGGCAAAAAGATCCACGTATTCCTAGATTGTGCCCCTCCCACCTTCCCCTGAGTTTTTTGATCTGTCATTACCTCTTCGCTGATGTTAACAAATATAACCAGGTTTCTGCATTTTAATTTTTTTTTAAACTCTGAATTATATAAACCAGATATTCTTTAAACAATTCTGTTGTGTCCAAACCCTGTGTTGCTGTGAGCACCAACGCCATCCTCATGTAGCACACGAGGTGTGGGGTTTGAAATCCTGGCTTCAGGCCAAGGAAGCCCAGAGAGGTGCCCGCAGAGCACGGGCTCGCTGTGGCACACTTTGGGCTTTTCCACAGGAGACGGGTCACAAAATGTACCCCAGAGCCAAAAGTTCATCCATGGCTGGGGCAGGGAAGAGAACCTTGCAGAGGCTGCCTTGCCCCTCAGCTGAGCATCAGCCCCCTCTCCCAGAGGGAGGCAACTTCTTCTCTCCTGGGGCTGTTCTCCACGCAGTGAGGCTTTCCAGTGCCTGAGCAGACCCTGCACGCCTGCTGTGACTGAGCTCTGCTGCTTTCCCTTGTGTGCCCTCCCAGGTACGCTCTCACCCGTGGCTGATGGTGCCCTCTGTGCCCTCTGTCTCACACAGCCGTCGATGTTGGTGCTGTCATGGAGCTCACTTTGGGGCTCTTTTCTGCAACTGCTTCACCATTGACTCACGCTGTTTCTCTTTCCTGTGTGCTTTTGTAATGCATGAACATATATCTACCCCTTCCACATTCCCTGTGGCTCAGCTCTGTGCTCTCTCGGGAGGTGGGGACAGGCAAGAGGGGCGTGAGCTGCACCTGAGTGTCAGGGCATCCAGAGCATCCATGAGGTGAATGCAAAGCAGAGGTGCTGCAGGGAGCTGCGCCCGTGGGCAGGGACCTGTGAGGGAAGGACTCACCCCTGGGATGCAGGCCTGAGCTTCCCCACTGTGCGAGCTCGTTTGTTTTGGCACTCGCAGGGCTGGTTTACATGCTGCTCAGCTGCTGGAGTACTTTCCTTCAAAGAGCTACTGGGAAAGAGGCCTAAAACAACTTTTCAGAGATGCCTGCATCAGTTCTGCTGGAAGGGGTACTAGGCAGAGTGGAGTGAGAGATGCCTTTCCCCAGAGCAGAGCTGGTGATTGCAGAGCCGTGGCTGATGGCTGGGTGCTGGGGCTCGCTCAGACACAGCCAGCCTTCCCACCATTTCTTCTTCAGGGACTGATTCTCAGAGCGACCAGCCCGTGCTAACAGGAAATAACAAAAGAGCAAACAAAAACCAGTATCAAGAGGACTGAACATGCTTACAGAAAGAAGGTGGCTTCTCCACAGATGGATCAGCTGGGAGGTGCCTGCTGTGTTTCACACGCAGACAGCCCTTTCCAAGGGATGTGCTAACACTGCTGGAAGGCAGCCAGCTGTCACATACGTTATTCACAAGTACCTGTGTAAAGGTTTAGTCTGTTCTCCCAACACAGCCTTCCTGGCAGAGGAGCACACTGAAGGGGGGGAAACTAAAGGGTGCAAGGAGGTAATGAGGGTGAAAGAGAGCAGAAAAAGTGCAGCTGAAATGAGCATATAATCAGGATTACCAGGAGAGTTTACTGGGTTTCTGAAGACCAGTCCATCTTCCAGATGGATGTCATCCCAAGTGCTGCTCTGTACTTACAAGAGGAAATGGTTCACTTCTCAAATCACCAGTGTGTCTCGATGTAAAAGTCTCCTTTAATGATCAGCCGGTTCAAGAAAGAGCAAGGCCTAATCCTGACTCATCAGACAGGATTTTACATTTCCTGGTGTGCCTGAAGCCATAGGAAGAGGCCTGATGTAGGTGACAGGAGGAAGCATCAATCTTCTCCCTTTGGAGCAGAGATCCTGTGAGGATGGGGAGCACAGGGTGACCTGTAAGGGCTGAGTGTAAGCATCTTTTCAGCTTTTTGGTAAGAAACAGCTGGGTTCTGGAGATAGCAGAAAGGCAGAAAGACTAGGGTTCAGCAAGACAAATCCATTGTGTCTCTGATTTGGTGGCTTTAGGGAACATATAAAACAGGAAGAGGGTAAAATGAATGTACAAAAGATGAGCACAGAGCAGCATCAAAGAAACAAGAACTATTGGCCTGAATAAATAAAATGCCTGAAACTCAGCTCAAGGCCGGTTCTTGGACTTCCTGGGGGAGGTGGGTATTCAAAATCCACTGAGGCCTGAGGAGGGGGTGCTCCTCACTGGTGTTCCATGCTGGAGCCCTGTGGGGTGGGTGCCACCGGCAGGGCAGGGCTGGCCCCTGAGCTGCAGGGTGGTGGCAGATGGCAGGAGCATTTCCCATCTGCTTTTCCAATGGAGCAGCTCAGGAGGGTGCTGCTGGCTGCATCCCGAGCCTGGTCCCAGCAGTGTGAAGAGCTCCTCACTTTGGGAAAACATCGTCCCTGTGTGGAGGGAGCAGGACAGCTCACACAGCACAGCAGGCAGAAAACCTTGGGAAAACATTGGGAAAACACTGGGAAAACATTGTCCCTGTGTGGATGGAGCAGGACAGTCTCACACAGTGCAGCAGGCAGGAAACCTTGTGAAAACATTGGGAAAACATTGGGAAAACACTGGGAAAACATTGGGAAAACCTTGGGAAAATGCTGGGAAAACATTGGGAAAACATTGGTAAAACATTGGGAAAACATTGGGAAAACCTTGGGAAAACCTTGGGAAAACCTTGGGAAAACGTTGTTCCTCTGTTGTGTGAGCAGGAGAGTCTCACAGCACAGCAGGCAGGACACCTCTGGTGAGGCAGAGCAGGGATTCTGGGCTCTGGCAGGTGGCACCTGAGAGGGGCTTGGCTCTGCACCCAAGCAGGGCTGAGAGAAATCCCTGCTCCATCAGAGCCCAGCAGCCAGCAGCTGCCGAGCCCTGGCACTGCCCGCGGCTCGGGAGCAGGGCTGGCACCGTGTCCCCCTGCCCCTGTGGTGTCCCTGCCCAGGCTGGGGCCTAAAAATGGATCTCAAGTGTTTAATTTGCAAACCTTTAACAAAGACCACGCTGACATGCAAATTGCAGAGTGGCAAAACAATACGTGACAGCCGGCTTGCTTCTCTTCTTTGGAAAACTCAGATGTTTTCTTGTCACAAAGCTGCTCATTCTTCCTCTTAACATAAACATCGTAATGGGAATAAAATGCTTCTCTTTTATAAAATGCTGTGTGTTGGTGGTTAAGCAAAATTAACATTTTGTAAAGCAAATGAAGGAGAAAGGGAGCTCTCACACAAATTCTGTGAGCAAAGAAATGGTTGTTTTATGTTCTGAGCAAATTAATTTCACTTTTCTTGGGTGCTGAACCAGGCCCAAAGCTGCGTCCTTGGGCACTCAGAAGGGAAATGGTTAAGAAAGAGTCCCACCCCTCCCTGGTGTGTGAGCCCAGAGAGAAGGGAGGTTTTAGTAATGCTCAAACCTTGTGCCTTTACACAGCTTCACAGAAGGCAGAAAAACATCCTGTGCTTGTCTGTACGGCAACTTCTGAGCAGCCTGGGCTGTGGAAGGTGTCCCTGCCCATGGCAGGGGATGGAACAGGTTAAGGGCCCTTCAAACCCAAGTTCTGAGAATCTGCTGTATAAATCATTAATCCCAAATAAACGACAGTAATTGTGTGTTATCGCATCAGCAGTCTGATTTTTGTGGGACTGTCAGGATGGTCAAAGTTTGTCAGTGACAATTTTAGCTTCAGAATAACATTCATATTAGTGGTCTCCAAGGAACAGAATGCAACTGCTCTGTTTGGTAAAAGTGAGGAGACAAAATTAAATTGGAATTATTGTCCTCTCTCGCAGGAGATTTTTTCTTTTAAATTGGAAAAGTGCCTATACTGTAGGCCCTGAGCAGCAGTAAGGAATCTCCCGTTGAGATAAATGGGAATTACGTTTTTGGCATCTGTTCCTGAGTTGCTCAATTAATTCCATTGCATCTTACAGCAGACTGTTCTTCAGCACAAGCCCTTCCTGTTCCAGACCTTGGAGTTGGGAATGTGCAGATTAAGGCATTATTTTGACTACAATCTAAAGACCTTGTAGAAAAGTTGAAAAAATTCCGAGGTGCTGCCAGTGGTTTTTCTGGGGACAAGATTAATATTCACTGGATTTGCCGTATCTGACTGCTGCTCTCCTCCTCCTCTCAGTAAATAAATCTGCCTGCCAGTTCAACAAAGGGACTCTGGCAGGAGCCAAACAACGAGAGCTGCAGTGACAATAACCCGCGGTTCTGCAAACAGAGCGGCAGTGGCGAGGGGAGCTGTGGGCATTGCCAGGGCTGGGCACTGCCCGAGCCCCAGGGGCACGGGAGC